GTGTGAACAAGAACAAGACTTGTGTATTGTGCTTAGGGACTGCTATAGGTGTTGGAACATCAAACTCCTAATAACAGCACTCAGTTGGTAGCTGGGAATTCAGGTTAGAAGCAGCGGTGAAAGAGTATCATAGCAGAAATGGGAGATGGGTATAATGATCAGAAACCTAGTGTGGTAGTTCCCTCTAACTATCTAGGTGTACAGATGACCTCAATTAAACTGAATGGTGAGAACTATGTTCCATGGGCCAAATCAATGGAAGTTCTCCTCAAGGCAAAGAGGAAAGTGAAGCATGTAAAAGAAGATAAACCACCAGCTGACTCTCCAGGGTTTGATGATTGGGAACAAGAGGATGCTCAAATCATGACCTGGTTATGGATTAGTATGGAACCAAAAATTAGTGGCAACTTCATGTTCCTAGATACGGCTAAGGATATATGGGAACATGCTAAGAAGCTGTATTCTGGACAAGATAATACTACAAGAGTATATCAACTTTATCAGGAATACTTTGATTTGCAACAAGGAAACAAAACCTTAGAAGAGTACTATGCCTGCATGAAGAATCTCAGAAATGAACTCAATGTCTATCATCCCCTCACTCCAAATGTTAAAGTTCAACAACAACAGAGGGAACAACTAGATGTTACAAGATTCTTAGTGGGGTTGAAATTGGAGTATGAACCAGTTAGAGCCCAAATATTAGGGAGCTCTACTCTTCCTACACTTGAGGAAGTATTTGCACGGCTTCGTAGGATTTCTTTGGGACAGACAGAGAATCCCACACAGTCTGATAGATCAGCACTTGTGACAGCCAGAGGAGGTGGACGTGGTACAAGACAGGGAGGACATGCCTCCCGAGGAGGCCGTGGTAGTTCCATGTTTGGCCGAAGTGGTGGTCGTGACTCAGGGGGAGGCCGTGGCAAAGGAAAGAGTAACTCTGCAAGGAAATGTACCCATTGTGGCAGGGAAGGACACTTGGTGAATTTCTATTATGATCTACATGGCCGTCCCTCTAAATGGGCTAATCATGTTGTAGCTGGTGAGGTTGATATCAATGATAGTAAACYGGCAGACCTAACTCCCTCCACATCTACATCTGCTTCTAGGAGGAGATGGTAAGTGTACCGCGTGATGAGTATGAACGGTTCCTTCAAACCACTTCACAGCATACCACTGCTACTCTGGCCCACTCAGGTATTGCTTGCATGTCATCTAAAACCTCTCCCTGGATTAATGACTCTGGAGCCTCTGATCACATGACTGAGTCTCCAGGTGTGTTCTCTTCTCTTTCTGAAACTTCCACATCACAAACTGTTACACATTCCAATGGTTCTTCATCTCCCATCTGTGGTGTTGGTAATGTTGACATGGCTTCCCTTTCTTTATCATTTGTTCTATATGTACCTATGTTTTCCTTCAATCTTATGTTTGTTAGTAAATTAACCAAGACTCTTAACTGTTCTATTACTTTCTTTCCTTCCTCTTGTGTTTTTCAGGATCTCAAGACGGGGAAGAAGATTGGTGGGGGGCATGAAGCTAGTGGATTGTATTATCTTGACGGTGGTGGATCCTCAATTGCTCTTCAGACTTCACTTACTCCACTACAGTGGCATTGTCGACTGGGACATCCTTCTCTCAAGGCACTCAAGATATTAGTTCCGTCTTTGAGTCATTTGTCAGTTTTACAATGTGAGTCATGTCAGTTTGGGAAACATCGTCGTGTTTCCTTCAGTCCTAGAGTTGAAAGTCATATGTTGAATCATTTTTCTTTGGTTCATTCAGATGTTTGGGGCCCGATCAAGATAGAGTCTTATAATGGGTACAAGTATTTTGTCTCTTTTATTGATGATTGTTCAAGGATGACATGRATTTACTTAATRAAAGAAAGAARTGAWTTATTCTCCATTTTTCAAAAATTCCATGCTGAAATACGTACACAATTTGGTGTTCCAATCAAAGTTCTTCGTTCAGATAATGGTCGTGAATACTTTCTTACTTTGTTTCAATAGTATTTAGAACAGCATGGCATTATTCATCAAACCTCATGTGCATCCACTCCTCAACAAAATGGGGTGGCTGAACGAAAGAACCGTCARCTCCTCGAAACTGYTCGRTYTATTCTTCATCATATGAGTGTTCCTAAACGGTTTTGGAGTGATGCTGTACTCACTGCATGTTTCCTCATTAATCGGATGCCCTCCTTCAATCTTAATGGTCAGTCCCCCTTCTCTATCTTGTTCCCCACTTTATCTCCATTTCCATTAACTCCTCGTGTCTTTGGTTGTGTGCTTTGTTCACAATCTGAGTCCTGGAATAGACAAGAAAGATGCACGCTCCATTAAATGTGTCTTTCTTGGCTACTCTCAGACTCAAAAAGGGTACAAGTGTTATAATCCCATTACTCGGAAGTGCTATGTCTATCCTGATGTCACCTTTTTTTAGTTTGTCCCCTTCTTCTCAGGACCTGAAGCACCTTCGTCTCCACCCTTACTTCCTCTTCCTCTTCTTGTCAGTGATCCAGTTCCGGATGTTCCTGTTGGAGTAGACTCATCACCTCATCCAGTGCAGATCACTACTGAACGACCACCGATCCGGCAAGTGTATACACGTCGAACGACACCGGCCCCTCCTCTAGCTTCTACCTTATCTACGGATTCTGTCATGGCTCCTGTTGCTGAACCCTCAGAACTTGACCTACCCATTGCCTTACGGAAAGGTAAACGTAGTTGAAAGCTTAAGTATTGTAGTCGAAGTAGCAGAAGAAAGAAGAAGACCAAGAGATGCTGAGACTGTCGAACTGAATAACCCAGTTGATAGTACTCTTATTTATTGTAGAGTATAGTACAATGTTATAAAAAAAGACTGGAATGCCCCTGATTAGTGATGGGACACCCAGACAACTTAAAACACTAAACAAACTTAGGCCCATTAACAYAGGCCCARTACATAAYAACTTAAACTCAAATACAGGCTAATAAGAACTCTTATCAGTCGAACCATCACTACATAAAAACCTTCAACCTAACACTTCCCCTCAAGCTAAGCATGGATGTCAATCATGTTTAGCTTGCCAAGAAGGTCCATGAACTTTGCTGCAGCCAACCCTTTAGTCAGTGCATCTGCAA